TTCCGGTGCGGGCCAGAGGCCTGCGGGAGTTGTAGTCCGCTGCCCTCGCTTCCTGCTGGTGCTTGTCCCCGAGCCCCTCGGCCGGCTCCCCGAAGCTGTGGCCTGGCCAGCGTTTCCCTTACCTTCCCAGGGAAGCAAGATAAGCGCTGGCAGTGCGGGAGGGAGGACGCTCCGAGGAGAGCGCGCGCCCAGATGAGCTGGCGCTGCAGTCGCGGGGGTGGAAGTGGGAGAGCCCGGCGTGGGCCGGCGTTGACATTTCTGTCCTCCTAGGGAGCAAACCCGGCTGAAAGCCCTCCTCGTAGACCGAGACACGGAAGCGTGGCAGCAGGACCCCGCCTTCTCGGGTCTGCAGAGGGTTGGGGGCGTTGACGTGTCCTTCGTGAAAGGGGACTGTGTCAACGCCTGTGCTTCCCTGGTGGTGCTCAGCTACCCTGGGCTCGAGGTAACCTGGGAGGGACGCTGAGCCAAGAACAGAGCTGCAAGACAGGGAACAAATTCAGGGTAGAGGCCAGCCTCTCTTGTAGAATTAGTTTCTTTATTTTATTTTATTCTCAGTGTTGAGGATGGGACCCAGGACCTTGCACATACTAGGCAAGCGCCCCACTTCTGGAGCTATCTGTAGCCCTCCTTTTGTAGAATTTCATTAACAGGTTGAGGAGTCTTTGAAAGGAAATAAAAAAGGGCAAAAGTTAAGGGAATTCTTTCCCTTCGCTCACACCTGTTTCACCTTCTCTCCCTTGTTTCTGCCTCTTAAATCTTGCATGACCCGCTCCCCTTGTCTGCCTCCTTTCTTCCCTTGCCTGTCTCTGCTGCCGTCACTTTTCCTGCAGCTGTGTTTTCCTGGACTCCTGCCTCAAACGTTGCTCCTTGATTTTACGAGGAGAGCACTTTTTTTTTACAAGAAAATGTGATTATGTCACCAGGAGTCCCTTGAAAACACGTCATTGCCCTTCCTGTGGTGTCATGGTAAATGAAATTCACACTGGTTGTTGTGACCTCGTGATGTGCTCCCTGCTTGATTGACTTTGTAGGCCCAGCTCCCAACGCCATCCTCAGCTTTGACTCCCTCAGACACGCCATATTGTGTCTGGCTGCCTAACCTTTGCAGTCAGTTTCCTTTCCCATCCAGCTCAGGGCCCAGTTTATTCATTACTTCCTTCAGTGAGCCCCTTCATCCTGTAAGACCAGGAGTTGCTCCTCAGCACCCTTGTCTTAGTCCATGTGGGCTGCTACAGCAAAATGCCTCAGAAAGGATAGCTTATAAACAACAGAAATTTATTTCTCAGAGTCCAGAGGCTGAAAATCTGACTTCAGGATACAGCATGATCAGGTCCTGGTTAGGACTCTTCAAGGTTGCAGTCAGCTGCCTTCTCACTGTGCCCTCACATGGTGATGTAATCATCTCCCAAGGGGGCCTTCTCTTAACACCATTACTGTGTGGGTTTGAACTTCAACATATGAGGGGGCGGGGGTATTCAGATCATAGCCAACCCTGAGCTTCCTTTTGTCTGGAATGGAATGGAATTGGCCTGTCTTTCCTAGCAGAAGGTGAACTCCATGGTAGCAGGAACCAGGTTGTCTTGCCTGAGGTGGCCTCAGCACCAGCTCACACCTGGGAGACACTCAAAGCCCTCCTAAGCAGATGGTGTGCGTGAATGAGCAGTCCACGGCTCAGGAAGCCTTGACTGTACCCTCACTTCAGCATTACCCCTTGTGGCTCCTGTGCCTTTCCCCAGGGCCACAACAACATCTTCCTGCTTCTGTAGTTTTGTGCTTTACCCAGAAGGCTCTTTTATTCCTGGTTCTGCACAAATGTATTGAGTGCCCACTGTGTGCTAGGATCCCGATCTGTAGTGAAGGAACCGAGGCCCCTGCCCTCACAGGTCCCTGATCATTCTGTAAGACAGTGCCAGGGGTAAAAGCACGATGCCAATACCAGGCTACTCCTGTTTGTACCCCAGCTCTGCCACTCCCCACCACTCTTGGCCTCTTTTTTCTAAGTTGGGGAGGATGATGCTATTACTGCCCAATGTGCAAAGATGGGAAATAACAGGCCATGCATGCGAAGCAGGCAGCACAGTGTTCCTTCTCTGTCCAGCAATCCCTGGCTAGACTCAGTCGCCCTCTTCTGTGCACCAGGCCTCATTACTGCACCTGCCACCATCTAACTCTTGCCCACACACAGTTACGGGATTGATTTTTTTCTTTTCCCAGGTTTTTAATTTTAAAGTGTATAAGTATACTGAAAAAATTTAGAAAAGAATAGATCAGCTGCATCCATACGCTCTGTTTAAATTCAGCTATTGCTGATTATGTCATGTTTTCTGTGTGTGTTTCCTGGGTACTTGAGAACATGTCCTGGCTGTGGCAGCTTACCTCTGAGTACATGAGCAGCTCGTCCTGCACATAACATCCTGTATAACTGCAGGCTCATTGTCATACTATGAAAAATCACAGTGATGCTGTAACACTGCTTGAACCCAGCCACAGTCACATAGCTCACTTGTCCCCATTATGTATCTAAAAGCTAGTTTCATTTTGTTTTCTGGGGGATTTAGCTCAGTGGTTTCGCTGCCTGCCTTGCAAGCACAAAGACCCAAGTTCGATCCCCAGTACCAAAAAAAAAAAAGGCATAATTCATTTTGTTTTCTAATCTATAAATTTTTAACATTTATGTTCTGTTCAGGGTTGTAACAAGTATGTTATGCTCACTGTGGGATTGTATTGTCCACGGTGTTGCCTGTTTCCTTTATTCTTTCCTCACTGAGATGTGTCTTAATGACTTCTGTTCTGTTCAGTTCAATTTCCCAGCTCAGTTGACTCTTCAGTATGTGGGGTCAGATTGCTTTTTGTTTTTTGGAATGTTTCTTGAATTATATTTTTTGGTTTTGGTTTTTATTTTTTGCAGTACTGGGAATTGAACCTAGGGCCTTTGCACTACATCCACAGCCTCTCTCTCTCTCTCTCTCTCTCTCTCTCTCTCTCTTTCTCTCTCTCTCTC